GGGGGGGGGGGGGGGGGGGGGGGGGGGGGGGGGGGGGGGGGGGGGGGGGGGGGGGGGGGGGGGGGTAAGATGAATGTGAATACAAAATGATTTAGGGCAGGCCAAAAGTACGCGCTATCTTCGTAACACGTTTCTCCTTGATGCAGCACAAGGGTTGCTGAAAATGGTTCGTCGGCGCGGTGTCCCGGAAGTCGTTCCTCAGCGCTTACATGGTGGACCGTGATCGGGAGCAACTCTTGCAAGTTTGTATAGATGGCTGTCCACCTCCGCGCACTAAGGTGGAGGTACCATATAGTCCCGCGTCCGAACATTACCGCCCCTCGTATCCTTCAGGCGTGGCAACATGTCCTGCCTGGGATTTCCTCCCTCTCAAACGTGTCAATATTGACACACAGAAGTACCGCATGATGTGGAGAGTGTTTTTTCCCCCCAAAACGGCCTAAACCCATGCCGCTCGTTCAACAATACAATGTACAGCATTGGGAAGATCCCATCCATTTGATCCAAAGCGGGACTGAGACAAAATAGAGTCGTTCGCCTTCTAGAAAGGAAAAGCACGAAATCCCTGGCAGGCCACGCGGGAGGAACTGGTGGGCCATGACACATCTGCGCCAGGGACATACCGTATATGACAGGTGTGTTATCTGAAATCATATACGGTATTCATGTCACTTCTGTCCCCACGAACGAAACACTGTCCTGAACACGCACAGTGCGTTTCAGGCGGTTGTTCGCACGCCGACAAACTACATGTACGTCGAAGGCGGTCACCTGGGACAGTAGCGCAAGCGGAAACTTGCGCAAGAAGGTGCTTGGTTGTGGCAGAGTGAGCACGTCCAATGTTGACGTCATGTCCGGCCCTCACGTGTCGACCATCGCTTCAAACAAACCCACAAAGGGATTGCAAAAAAGGCTTCATCAAGCAAGCTGCAGTTGCTGCACGCAAGGTATATTCCCCCAACGAATGCTACCCACAAACCCTACCCAACAAAGGCATGGCACACACCCAACTCGAGGAACTAATTCATTGATATTCATACGTCGGGAAGGTTGAAGCTGTCGAACAACACTTCTCACGGCCAAAAGACGCTACGCTTTGTTGGATAGCAGAGTGGAACGAGTCAAAGGAGGTCTCAACTCTAATCTGAGACTTTTTCGTCTGAAGGGGCAAGGGGGTGACGGGGCGATCGCCTATTCAACTGCCACAGGAGTTTGCTACCCAAGGTATGTACACCTCGTCTTGTGAATGTCCCAACATCATCGTTGGGCGTATCGATACTCCTCCGGAGTCGCAAGCAACGTTGCTCCCTCCTCTACCAAACAATATCAAACGGGCGTGGCTCAACCCTAGTGATCATCTATCGATCACAGGACAACACGCACCCCTCTAGACAAGAAAAACAAGGATCAAATCCAGTTCAGGGCTCCCTAAACATAATATTTCCGACGTATCAACCCTAAACCACGAAATTGTCGCAGATCGTAGCACACTTGATGCCGCAAAGGCGCGCCCCGGTGACCGGCAACTATCATCGCGCCTTCCACTTTACGTGATAAGTCCCAGGTCGTCTGCACGATATTCTGCTGGGTGCGAACGGCCGGAAAACCTCTAGCGACGCGTCCCGTGAAATGTACGCGCCACGCAGCACCCCGTAGGGACGGGACGATAGAACGCCATCGGTCTCCGTCGTTCAATCCGCGCCCCATCCTCCCGGTTCGAGGATCGCTCGCAATTGCACGGCGATGGGGTGTGAAGGGCCGAAGAATCTCTCCACGGTCGCTAGCGCCCGTTTGATGAGCTCCTTCGCCTCCGCGTCTCGCCCCTGAAAACCGAGAGCCGAACGCCGAATGTTCAACGAGTGTTTCAGGGTCGTCAAGGGTAACGCGAAGTGGAAGAGAGGGGAGGAAGACCCGGCGAAGGCGGCGGCGTCACCACCGCGGCTCGCATGCATGTGCAGAGCGGACACAAACGGTTCCAGGCAGGCACTGAGACAAACGGTACGCAAACCAACAATGATGCTACAAACGCAAGTACAGCAGAACACACAAAACCGTATTCTCCGCCCCACCAGATACATCCAGTCGTGTGTTTGGGCACCTGCTGAACGGCTGTGTGGATAACGCCAAGACACGGGCACCACGGCAACACACACGCGCAAAATCTACTTGCGCGGCACCGCGGAGAAAAGTCTCACCACAGCCGCACGAACGCCACGTAGCATACCTCTTGATGTAGCATCGATGCGTAGTGGCTCAGCACGGCCGCGACGTCGGGATGCTCGGGACCGTGAGCCGCCTCCAGCGTAGCCAGACCCCTAATGAACAGTCCCTCCGCCTCCTCGGTTTTCCCTTTGAAATCGGCAGGCGTTTCGACCATAGGAGGGACGGGCACAAATGCTGTATGCACTCGACTTGATCTTGCGGTTGAAAAACAAGGACAGTTCGGATACATGTGATTGTCCCAATGGTCTCAATACTTCCAAGGGGGGTCGTGTGTAGCAACGTTTCGCCCATCAAGCGCAATCGATGAACCGAATAGAAGGACGATCAACCTATCCTCGTCGCCTTGTCCACGCAACAGCAAGCGCATTATTGACGAGACTCTTGGGGGAAGGGAGAACAAACACGAGGGATCGTCGCTGCTTCCACGGAGGTGCTGATCGCCTACTGGTAGAGGTGTTCACGATCACGCCCAACACCAACACAACGATAGCGAAGCCAAAGAAATGGCCGAAGCTAGGGGATTCTCCCAGCGCGAGGCCCTCGCCTTCATCCCCAAACAACACCGCTTCCAAACACCAGCCGCACAAACACACCTTGTGCGCTCAGCAGTGAGGCCAGGTTGATAACCTGCGCCCCCAAGTCCGGGTGAGCCGGTCCCAGCACTTTCTCCCCTATGGCGAGCGCTCTCCTTTGCAAAGGCTCAGCGGCATCCGGGTCTCCCCTATCCCTCACTAGCGTAGCCTGCAAGACGTGCCGTCGAAGAGATAAGAAGGACGGGCAAAAACACGCCCTCAGCGCAAGATCGAGGACGATACAACAGGTGCAATTCCACCCCTTGAGAGCGCTGATGAAAGCGCTGCCGAACAACGGCTGCCCAATGCTTGCGCCACAGACACGTACCGTCTTCACCCAACCGCCGACCTACAAGACCCGACCACTAGTGTGGGTCACTCCCATGGGATCTCACACCAGTGTGGGAGTCCCGTGGGATCTCACACCGACGTGGGATTCACGTGGGATCTCACACCAACGCGGAACGTCATTGCCGCCGCTTCCAAAGCACGGCTGTGCGACAGGGTGCGCAAGCGAAAAGCGGGTACGCGTATCAGAGGTGTCTTGTTCGTTTCCGGCAGGTAGGTATTCACCAGGTTATTGAGCCAAGTGGCCAGGTCGGGGTGGTCAGGTCCCAGAACGGTCTCGCCGATTTCCACCGCCTTCCGATACAGCGGCTCGGCCTCGTCCAGCTTGCCTGGAGACAAGAGAAGCGAATGCATTGCAAAAACAGGACCGCGGTCAAAAACGCAAAAGATCGACCCACATCACGCTATATCCGCAGGCACCGATTCAGCCAGGGTCAACAGGAAACCAGGAGAGGTTGCTAGCGGTTCGTTCAAAACATTAACCCTCCCGACGGTAAAACATGCAAGAAGAAAAGCCTGGAACACACACTCGACAGGTTGGAGCACCACCGACAACATCAACTCCTTTTCCGCGCTCTGCCGACCGCAACTCTACCCACCGTACCTTTCCGACAAGAGGGGCGGATGAATGCGCGGCACTTACCCTGACATCTCAAGAGCCCAGCGAGATTCGAGAGACCTGTAGCCACGTTGGGGTGGGACGGGCCGTACATCTGCCTGCCGATGTCCAAAGCCCTTGTGAACATCTCCTCCGCTTCCTCGAACTCCCCTCTTGCCTGCACCTGCGAGAGGACAACACCACACCAACGCCGACGCGGCCAGTCGACGGCGGTATCGCGCGTCCGCCGTAGCAAGAAAATACCAACGAAAATAAGGGAGAACAACATTCGGGGCAGCACTTTGAGCACGGGAGAGAGAGAGAGAGAGACAGACAGAGACAGAGAGAGAGAGAGAGAGAGAGAGAGAGAGAGAGAGAGAGAGAGAGCTCGCGCCGAGAAAAAAGCAATCGAACCAAAAAAGAGGGAGAATAATCTTTGGGCTGGCAGCAGTTCAGCGCGGAAGAAACAGAGGTCGTATCCGCAGGCAGAAACCATGTCGGGTGCATGTCCAACCAAAAGATTTCCGGTCGGGTTGGTCGGGCGGCACAAAAGGAACTGCGTTCGAAAATAGCCTTCCTTCAGCAACGATGCGTGGCTAACCCGACAGGGCCAGGCAGCAACCGTCATGGGCGAAACTCCTGTCTTGCCCTTCCCTGAAAACCTCTGGCTCGCTATCATGCATGTATCATGATTCCTACATGCCCCCTCCAACACTGTTCCCCATCATTGAAAGCAGCAGCACCCACTCACGTAAGACAAACAAAAGAGCGTACATTGTAGTCCGCTTCTGCACCAAGATCACCGCCAGAAACACCTGGAAGACACGCATCTAGTGCCCGCTAAATTTTGAATATTCCCACCTGAGTAGCCAGGTTGTTAAGGCAGGTAGCGATCTTGGGGTGGTTTGAGCCGTAGATCTGTTCCGAGATCTGGAGCGCTCTGCGGCATAGTGGCTCAGCCTCGTCATCTCGCCTGTTGTGTCATCATGCACGAGCAACAATGTTTGTGCACGCGAGTTTGATCTGTGATTACTGAATGCACGGAGCTAGAGAAAAGGACGCGTCAAGAGTAACCCAAGGAAAACATAACTTGTCTCTGTCCTTGCCTCTCTGTCTCTCTCGCCTTCTCGCCCTCTCTCCCCTCACGTTTTCTCCCTTTCTCCCACCCTCGCTTTCACCCCAAAACCATCTACCCTTCTCCAATCTCACACACTGGAAACCTGTCCACTCATCCCAATCCAATCCTACCTACCCTCCCGCCTTCCTGCCCACCCACCCACTCCCCCTACGCTGACCTTCTCGCATGTAGCAAGGCGCTGAGGTTGTTGAGGCACGTCGCGATCTCAGGGTGCACCGGTCCGTACGCCTTCTCCACGATGTACAGGGCGCGCAGCCCCAGCTTCTCCGCTTCGTCGGGCTTACCTGCCGACGAAACGAACATCCACCAAAACAAAAGTATGAGGAGTTGTTGGCGGAACAACAGTCCCCGTGCGCAAGGGTGCGTCTTTTCCCTCCTCGCAAACGACATGAGGTTTGGCAGGACACGAGTCCCGCCCCCCCTTAGTTTGTATTGGTGCGCACACGGGCGACAGCAGTCCGTCGCCTGCTGCTGGGTCAAGTCGGCGTTTGCTTGATCAACGCGCCGGTGCCGCCGCCCCCACCCCGGACCCTGCGTCTTCCCTCGGCCAATCGAAAACACACACAAAAATACACAAAAACCCCGTCCGATGGCCTCCTCATATCGAAACCCCAACGGACGCACCCCTTCATCAACGACCCCTGTCCCCCCTCACCCTGTGCCAAGCGGAGCGTTGCCTGGTTGTTCAGAAACGCCGCAAGCTTGGGGTGTTCCGGGCCGTACTCCCTCTCCCATGTCTTTAGCGCTCGACTTCGGGTTTCCAGAATCATGGGATCAGGCGTTTGTATTAGGGGGACGGGGGGACGGGGGGGACGGGGGGGGACAGATGGTGAACGAGTGCACGGCGTGCGCAAGGGGGCACCCAACAAGGTTGAGCTGCGTGCCGCCGTGCAAAAGGCAAAACACGATTCGGGATAAAGCACGACGTCGAAAAAATCCCACAGAGACGGCGAGTTTATAGCCGGAGGAGCGACAGAGCAATAGGTTCGCCGGGACCATTCTGGTGTGCTCCAAGTGCAGCGTATAAGCATGATCGGAAGACACGAGGTTGGGCCTGGTGCCGCTTGGTGCCGCTTGGTGTGGTGGCGCAGTACCAGTAACAGTAGTAGTACGG